ATACAAAATAGTTTGGTGCTAAGATCCTTTGACACTTACCTTCATTTTTCAGATGAGAAAACTAGAATTTAGAAAAGGCAAGGAACTCATCCAGGATCATACAGCCATTGAATGAAAGTGCAAGGATTCAAGCTCAGAGCCTGAGATTCTAAGTGCTGAATAGCCTTGTCTTCAAATGGTTTTACTTTTTCTATTTTTCTAATGAATTTTAAATTAGAAGGAAAATAACAAAAAATCTGAATAGTACCAAAGGGTATATGATGAAAAATATTTTATTCCAACTCCCCATCTCAATTTCATTTCCTCAGAACTAATATTATTAATAGTTGATTTAATCTTGCAGGAATTTTCCATGCAGTCACTTGGAAAATGTGGTTAAACACATGCACATATACTTACTGACCCCACATAAATGGTAGGTAGCTCACCGTCTCTATGTATGCATACATATATGTACATTTATATACACACCTGTCCACATATGTATATACTGCTCTGCACGTTGGTCGTTTTACTTGCCAGTGTCTATGCATATATCTATCTTGGAGATCTCACCATATTAGCACAGTATATACACAGTTCCTTTTCAAAAAGTGTAAAGTTAAACACAAGAATTAAGAATGAAGTCCCAAACCGGGAACGTTTTATAACCTTGTATTCTGCTCGCAGGAGTGTATGCTTATTTAACCCGTCTGAAAAGCAATTTGTCTCTTTCTATTCATCCATGTTTGGGAAATTATGTTAAGGCAATAATCTAAAAGCGGAGGAAGCTCTGTGTATTAGAATAGATGTTAAAGTTACCACCGATAGCCAAGAATTAGATATAACCTATAAGGGCAACAAAAGGTCAGGGAAGGCTAAAAAAAGTTTGGTGAACCTATTTCTATTATGATAAATACTAAATATACTGCCATATAGAAAAATATTCATTCATGATAGAACACTAATTGAAAAGACAGTATGTGTTTGTATGTGTTTGTCACTGTATAAAATTTGTAAAAAAATGGACAAGTTTGCAAGAGAAAATAGAAAATGAAGCTAGTGTGAGGTGATTCCACTGATGCTGCAAGATTATTCAGGCCATAAGTGAATGCAACGTTAAGAATTCATGGGGCCCAGGAAATATTCAGGATATGGAGAGCGGTGCTGTTTTTCTGTCATTGCCTGGGTGCCTCTCAGCCCTGGGTCTGCAGCCACCCTGGAAGGAGTCCCTGGAAAGGCCTCCCTCATTAGCAGGATCCTGCTGGGCTCACTCCTGTCAGCTCACTGCATTGCTCTGTGCCCTCCCTCCGTCACTCCCTTTAATTATTTGGCCCTCTGAGGGGATTTGCTTTCTAATGGCTTTCACATGCTCATGTTCTCCCCACCCTGCTAGGACGGCAGGCTCCACGTTGTCCACATCCTTATGGCCTCGACCTCATCCAGGCAGCCTGGAAATTGTCCTGAGTTCATTTTTCAGCTTTTGTATTATCTTGAGTCTCATTAGCACACTTCCTGGATCAGCAGCCTCAGAACCCCGACTGCTGTCCACACCTGTCTCCGCCCCACCCAGTGAAGACCCCAGGGAAACGGGCAGCTTGAAGGAAGAAGCCAGCAGCCTGGACACACACCCAGGGCATGTGAGACTCATTTTGCTTCCACATCTGTGGGGGATTACTGTGTTTGGTCTTGAAAATGCTTCACCCACTGACACTGATTAGCCCTGGGCTCCAGGAGCCTGTGCCCCCACCCCGACTAAGGGAGGGCGTCAAGGCTGAGTCATTTTTGTGGAAGTGCCTGGAGAGAGATTATGGCATTAGCTGCCTCTGGAGGCTTCCCCTCTTTGTGCTAAGGGGAGTGGCTGCCCAGAGTGTGGGCAGCGGGATGTCTTCAGGGCCTTCCTAGCCGCCCCAGGTCTAGTGAAGACGTCTGGAGACCCTAAGAACTCTGTATTTCCGGAGGCCCTACTCTGACATCTTACCAAATATTTGTAAATGCCCCCAGATTGCCTATTAAATATATCTTTTTTTGCTGTAAATTATTTTTAAAGGCATTTTTATCTGTGCTTTTACAATTATTTGCATATGATAAACTCCCCTAATGTATGATTGACTCTGATTTCTTAGAACTCCGTGCACACTTGAGAATTTGAGGGAGGTGAAAAAATTGACCCTACATATTGTTTACAAATGTAATGAATATCTTATGAATATTACATTTAACAATCAATGAAGTATGAATATGTCTATTAAATATTTATTGACTTCAATTTCATGATTTTCTTTTAGTATCTTAAAACAGATTTTTTTTTAAGATTTCAGGTATTTCTTTGGCTTTTAAAAACTCTATATGCTATATACACTGTACCTGGAATGCCTCATGGGTGAAATGGCACAGACTGCTACAGCTCTTTCTGCTATAGGGTTCCTGGCTTTGGCATCTCACAGACTTATTTCCGCTTCACATCTTCCCGCTGCGGGGCACTGCCCATCATTCTAAGCTCAGTCTAAATGCCACCCTATCCACTCAGCCTTTCTGATCACTCAGTGCAAAGTACCTGTCCAGTCATGCTGTTTTACTTCTCACTGTAGCACATACCACTAGCAGATACTGTTCTTCTAATAACGCCTAGAATCTAATAAATGGGTTTGTTCTAAATCTGCTGAGTTACTGATCTACCAGTCTACCATCTATAGATCAGTTGACCGTCCACCCCGACTGGAGTATAACATCCGAGATCTTGTCGGTCTAGGCATATCCCACCCCCAACTATCTAACACAGGGCCTGACACATAATAAGTACTCGATAATTTTTTGTGGAATGAATGTAATGATCGTTATGATTACTGTACACGTTTACTCTCTCATTTATTTTCCCAGTATTGTTGTTTGAGAGAAAGAAGTAGGATGGTGTGGCAGGTGGAATAATGGCCCCCAAAGATGTTTGCATAATCGTCCTCGGAACCTGTGAGTATGCGAGGTCCCACAGCAAGGGGGAGCTAAGATTGCTCATTATCTGACCTTACAGTGAGAGCAGCCTGGATTATCCAGGTGAGCCTACTGTGATCACAAGGGTCCTTTAAAGCAGAAGGAGGAGGCCGTCAGGGAGGTCAGAGCGATGCGATGTGAGAAGGACTCAGCATACTATCGCTGACTTTGAGGATGGAGGAAGGGGACCATGAGCCAGAGGATATGGGTGGCTGCTACAAACTGAAAGAAGCAATGAAATGGATTCCCCTTAAAGCCTGCAGAAAGGCCTTTGTTTTAGCCCAGCGAGACCTTTTTCAGACTTCCGACCTCCAGAACTGTGAGATAATACACTGGTATTGTTTAAGGCACTAAATTTGTGGTAATTTGTTATTAGCAGCAATAGAAAACTAGTAATATAGGTGGTTATGTCATTTTTACAGAGGAAGACATAGAGGCCCGTCCCTGAGAGGCCATTCATTCAATGTCATATAGGCATTTAGTATCAGCTCAAGCTGGACTCCAGTTGGCCAGAGTGCGTATCATTCCTGTGAACATTTGTACCGTTTATCTGTGGTTCATAACAAACCAACCCAAAGCACAGTGGCATTACTGTCTTCCATGGCTCTGACGGTTGACTGAGCTCAGCTGGGGAATTCTTAACATTGGATCAGCTGTGTGGTTGCAGTCAGATACTGGCCAGGATTTCAGTTATTTGCAGGCTTACCTACGTGGATGTCCACAGTGGCCCACTCACAGGCCGGGCAGTTGAGGTTGGCCATCAGCTGGGGCTCTTGACCGGAGCACCTGCATGTGGCGTCTGCATGTGCCTTGGCCTTCTCGCAGCGTGGCAGCTGGCTTCCATGTTGTAGGGAGCAGAAGCCGCCAGGCCAGTTAGGGGCCTCACTGGAACCAGCGTACTATCACTTCTGCCATGTTCTGTTAGTCAGAGCAGTTACAGGGTCCACCCCAATTCAAGGGGATGTAGAGATAAACCCCACTGCTTGATAGGGAGTGGCAGGGTCACACTGCGGAGGAGCGGATTGGATGGCACATACTTATGCAGCCGTTTCAGAAAAAAGTAATATCCTGTGGCATCCTTATCCTGAGGATCTGAAAGTACCTTGTAGCAATCTTGCAATTACAGCCGTCCCTCAATATCCATGGGGGATTGGTTCCAGGACCTGGCTCAGATACCAAAATCAAGTCCCTTATATAAAATGCACGGTATTGGCATGTAGCCTGGGCACAGCCTCCTGTGTAAATGCTGTGTAAATAGTTGCCAGCACATGAGCAAATCCAAGTTTTGCTTTTTGGCACTTCCTGGAATTTTTTCCCCAAATATTTTCGATCCATGGTTGATTGAATTCACAGATGCAGAGTCCGTGGATACAGGGGCCCAACTGTAATCAATCAGTAACTATTCATTGGAGTTTGTCTTATTGCAGGGCACCATGCTAGGCCTGTTGGAGGGCGGCAGGATAATGAAGAGTAGACCCTGACCTGAGCACTTTGCCATCTAGTGTGAGCACTAAGTGAGGATATTTGAGCAGGAGCCGGGGAGGCAGCTGGTAGCAGAGTGAAGGAGAGGAACTAAAAGGGTTGAGTAGAAGGACTGTGAGGAAATCTGCTTTGAGGCAGTCTCTGCAAAGGGGAGGGTTGCTAGTGAATGGTCAGGGCAGGAGAGTATTGGGGCATTTCCTGGGGCCAATACCAAATTCAGTTGTTTCAGCTCAAGAAGGGGGTTTGTAGGGTGTATGGAAAGGAGACTGGCCCTAGTCCGTTTTGTACTTCCTGGAGAAGGTGGCAGGTTTAATTCATACTTGCCTGAGGCATGTGTTTTCTCTAGGACTTTGACTCTTTTATGGGAGATACCTAGAAGCAACAGAGAGCCCCACCTCTCCACCCAAATAATCAGAAACATGTGGATTTTCTTTTCTAAGAAGTCTTACTATTACGTTGTATCAATTGATTACTAGTGGGGAACTTCAGAAAGCAGGCTGGACTCTAATGGGGGTCCCTCCCTGCCTTCTCTCTCCACCTGTCTCCTGCAGCTCAGTATCAGTGCTTTGCAGACAGCAGCCCGGAATGGCCATACACCCCTTGTCAGCTTTCTTCTCAGTGACAACGTTGATCTGCACCAGAAGGTGGACGTGAGTCTATTACGGTAACACGGGCTTTGGTTCTGGCTCTGTGAGGCTGGCTGTGCCGGGAGATGCTCCTTGGTGGATACATGTGGGGCGGGGTGTGGGGAGGAGGTTTTCACCAAGGAGGGATTCTTTCGGGGAGGGCTGACCGATTTCTTTTGGAGACTGAGTTTTACTCTTGAGAAGTAAGATCTGAGGGATGAATTTTAGAAAGTCATTGAAGTTCCTGAACAAAACGAAATCTTTGTGTTTTAAGTATTTATATTTGCTGCCATTAAACTTTCTCATGTGTCTAGAGAGGCCATTCGTGTATTAAAGTTACCAGTCTGGGGAAATGATGAAGCTGTTGTAAATGAGAAGGAGAATGATTATTTTTTCTCCCCCATCACCGAGCGGTCTTGTTTTTCTTTTGAAAGTCAGTCCTTTATACTGATTTAGGTTTTTTGAAGTTTTAATTGGCTTTGGTAGAATTAACAGAGGTCCTTTGTGGTGGAATTAGATGGAGAAGCACTCCTCTGTTTTTAACTCTACTTTCAGTTCTCCTGAGAAAATAGTTTTTTCTTTCATCCTGCTTAGCCATTACTATTTATTGTATCAGCTTGAGAGGAGGGATGTGATTAAACCATGATTGGTAGTTTTCGGAGAATGGTGTGAGGGGAATTGGCTCTGAACTTGCCTGGTCCGTCCAAGCATGCTTCCTGTTTCTCAGGAGGGACTGGGCCCCAGCAAGGCTGGTGGTCCCAGCGGGAAGGGCACTGTCTGTGTCCCTGGGACCAGGGATATGTTCTCTTCTTTCATGCTTAGTGCCTCTAGAAAGTTCTCCTCGAGCAGAAGCGGCCCGCACAGAAAGGCTTCCCCTGCCACTGCCCTCTCTCCTACCCCTCTCCGATTTCCCTTGCTCACTCTTGGACAGTCTGCAGCCATGGCGTCCCATCTGCCCTTTTCCTTCTCCTCTGGGTGCTGGTGAATCCCTTGCCAACTCACTGCATCTCTATTCCATCCATCTACCCCTGTTTCCTGGGAAGGAGCCTGGTGCTGATGTTGGAGGCAGGAAGATCTGGGTTCAGATCCTATCTCTGCCACTTCCTAGTTTTGATGCCTCATGGAACTGATTTAACTTCTGTGCCTCCTGTATCAAGTGGGGAATGGAAGACCTAACTGCTGTTAGGTAGTTGTGAATGAAAAGCTATTAGCCCAGTGTCTGAAAGAGTGTGAACTGTTGGGGATGTGAGCGTGTGGTAAGTACCATCAGGAGAATGTGTTGGATGTGCGTAACTGATGCTGAGTAGTGTCCCCTATTGCGACTGAGCAGTGCTGCGCCCGGTCCTCACCACCCGTCCTCACGGCGTCTGCCCTCCCTCTCTCCACTCGCTCTGCTTCTCAGCTCACCTCCTGCTCCCCCGTAGTCTCACTGGATCTGCTGCTCCTGCTCTTTCCCACCTGTGCCCCTGCCCCCTCCTCCCCACCGGATGCCTGGCACCTCGCTCCCTCTTATACCTTAACTGTGTTCTCACCTTTTTCCCCCTCGTAGCTGCCTTTTCTTCCCCCAGAGACACGTTTTCTCTAGAGCCTCCCCGGGCCAGTGGCAGCAGTGGGAATGAGGCAGCAGGGGGCTGTGTGTGACCGTGGCGGTGGGCACTGAGCCTGGCAGGGCTGGGCGGGGTCGGAAGCCCACAGTGGAGGTGGCTAAGCGTGTGGCTGGAAGATGGGTGTTTTAGCCACAAAAAAGGAGGAAAGGGGAGCAGGCTGCAGGGCTTGGTGAACACACTGTGGGAGGCCTGAGCGCGAGCAGTGCCCCTGGGTGAGGGGGGCCTTAGTCCCACAACTGCCTCTAGGGAGAAAGAGCCTTAGATCAGAGCAACTTGGGAAATGCTGAACGCGAATGTTGCTCCTTGCTTGTGGCTATTCCCACTGCGCTTTAAAGGCTGTGAGAAGTCCTGCAGTGAAGCCTGTTTAATACTTTCTTAGCCTTCATATTTAAGCTCAAATGTCAGTTCTTCAGGAAGGCTTTTTCTGACCTCCAGAAAGGCTGGCCCTTTGCCCACCCCATATACACTCTCATACTACTCTCTGCTTTTCCTCCAAGCACTTATCACAATTTGTAAATGTATATTTATTTTGGGGGGGTATCCTTGATTTATTTTTTTAATGGAGGTACTGGGGATTGAACCCAGGACCTCGTGCCTGCTAAGCATGCGCTCTACCACTGAGCTGTACCCTCCCCCCACAAACTGTATATTTATTTTGTGACTTAAAAAAAAATCAGTATTTGCTTACCTTACTAGATGGAAAGATTCCTGAGAGTGAGTCAGGTTCACCGCTGGATCCCTAACATCCTGAAAAGAGCCTGGCCCATAGTATGTGCTCATTGTCAAGTTCCAGAATGAATAAAGTGGGAAAGCTGATTGCTGGTGGGCAGGTTTGCTGTAGAGCCTTGGGATGGAAATGACGGCAAAGACTTAACTAAGGGCCCTCCACTGTGCCTGGCAGTGCTGGAATTCAGGAGATGATCAGGAAACACCTGCTGAATGAGTTGCCTTTTGATCTGAATGATGAAACAAGAATCGATTGAATTTGAAATTTTCATTTCTTTCTGCAGCCTAAGGAGTCCCCTCTTCATTTAGCTGTTATCAACAACCATATTACAGTGGTGAACAGCTTAATAAGTGCACAGCATGATATTGATGTCTTAAATCAGGTAAGCTGGGCAAATCAGAACCTGGAGAGTCCATTTTTTTGTTTCAATGCAGTATGTGTTTAGGGAGCGTTTCAATCAAGTTCAAGGTGCTCTAAAGATTGCTGGGAGTAATAGGCACATTCTTTTTTTAATCATTTTCTGTAACCCCCACTCCCACTTACATACACTATTTTGTCTTTTTCAAACACACAACTGGGATTCAGCCCCTGCATTATTAAACTGTTCACATTTAACAGGCCCAGTATTTCTGATAGATAAACAGTAGCTCAGAGGTAAATTGCCAGAGGCTCTAAATTAAATCAAAAGATACTTCCCCAGTGTGAAATGTTGTAATTAACAGGGAGTCCTTCTCCACAAGAAGGAAGCTTTGTTTTTATATTATAGACAGTAAATGTGTCATCTTTTTGCCCAAAGGCAAAAGAGACCTCTTGGAATTTAAAAGAAAAATCACTATGAATTCAATCCACTGGAGCAGAACTAAACACCCCATCAAAGGCATCCAGCACTGGCTGGAAATGGAAATACTGAGGTGAAGGAGTAAAGAGGATGGGGGTGGGTGCTGTCTGAGCCAGGGCCTGCTCTGGGATGAGCTGCCCTCCTCCAGAGGTTGGAAGTGGGAAGAAAAACCCTTGGGAGACTCCTCCCTCCTTCTTGGCTGCCTCTTCCCAGAGAATCTTCAGCTGTGCCCCCCAGGTTTCCTCATCTGTACCCAGGGCACTGACTCAGATGTCTGCAGTCTGCTCCACCTCCAGCCCGTGATGTCACCGGGGCCGCATCTGAATGGGGGCTTCACTCCCCTCTGTCCCTTCCTTCCCTGGGGACCTTCCTCCTCCCCTGTCTTCTACTATCCCAAAAGTTTGGGGGAAGAAATTCTTGTTACTAAATACATGTATGTATTCAACTATGTTAATGCCACAAATCTTGCCTCCTGGGCAGAATCTTTGCTCCACACGTGGACAGCTCTCTGTGTGATTCCGATTTCACCGGAACTGGCTAATCCACTTGAGTGAAGGAGGGCTCACTAGGCTGCCACTCAGTTACAGAACTAGACTTTATTATGTATGTTTTTTGTTGGATTAGGAATATGCAGAATGTATAAAAATAAGAAGACATAAATAAGCTAAAAACTTACAATTTGCTTGTAATCCCCTCAAAGAAAGAGAACTCTTGTTAACGTTTTGGTGCATTTCCTGCCTTCTAGACTTCTAGCAGTGTGGGCAGTGAGATTTTATGGGTGTTTGATGTATGACACTTCTGTCTCTGATCCATATTGGTATAGGTCCTTGTTAGGTTTGTCACTCAGTGTAAGTTCGACATCTCAGATAATGAGCCCCCAGAGGGGCACATCACCATCTAAAAGTGGGTCTTTAATAAATGCTTTTTGACATTAATTGTGTTAACATCCCAGGCAGGTTGGCCCTGTGCTGTAGTAGGAAGAGCCGTGGGCTGGATGCCATTGCCCAGCTGTGTGACCCTGGGGAAGTTGCTTCCTCTCTCTGATTCAGGGCTTGGGCTAAATCATAACCACTGTTCCTTTCTGCCCTGATATTTTAAGAAGTGTCTCCACATCAGTATTCCTTTTGGTGGGAGGTTAAGATGAGTGATTTTTTTTGTGATTTCATATAATTCTCTGAAACACTCTTATCCTCTTGACAGGAAAACGATTATTCCAGAAAGAATAATTCCAGAAAAGTTAGAAGTCTTGCACTCCTTTACATAAAATGATGTAGGAAATTTACAAAATAAAGAAAAGCATCAAGAAGGCAGTAAAAATAACCTCCAACGCCTCCATCTAGACATTATCATTCTTCACATCACTAATACATTTCCTTCCCTTTCTCTATTTTTATATATAAATTGAGCTCAGCTAGATATAATGTTGTTTCCTAAGGTTTTTAATATTGCATCTTAAGCATTTTTTAATTTTAAAAAAAATCTTTAAAATCACTTTTTATTGTGATGAAATACACATAACACAAAATTTACCATTTTTATGTGTACAGTTTAGTGGCATTAAGTACATTCACAGTGTATATAACCATCACATCCATCTCCAGAACTTTGTCTTCCCAACCTGAAACTTTGTACTCCTTAAACAACTCCTCATTCCTACTCCTCCTGCCCAGAAACCACTGTTTTACTTTGTCTCTATAAACCTGATTACTCTAGGTACTTTCTATTGAAATCATCTAAAAAAAAATCATTTGGAATGGTTATCAACTATTTCAGTGTGTGGATATACCTTAATTTATCTCATAAGTTTCCTTATTAAACATACAACTTCCAATTTTTCACTGTTATAAATAACACTACAATGAATGTCCCCGTAGGAACTGCATCTCATGAAAGATGTACCTATTTAAAAATATGTGACCTTATCTGTTTTCCCTCTGCCTGTGTAGAACACCTCTGCTTTCACTTGACCTTTTCACTATGCAAGCTTTTTTTTTTTTTCTCTTTAACATGCTTGGATTCTCTTTTTGAAATTTCCCATGGCAGAGGCAGCAAACCCCTTTGCACATAGCTGCTGATCTTGGAAATGTGGAACTGGTGGAGACCCTGCTGAAGGCGGTCTGTGACCTGAAGGTTATTGATAAGGTGAGTGCATGACCTTCGCTCTGCTCAGCCCAGCTGGGTGCTGAGTCCTCCCTGCTGGCTGTGAGCCTTGAGGGGCAGCGTCAGTGTGTCCCTTGTGAAATGGGCACAAACTAGGGAAACCTTGCTCTTGATAGTCAGTGAAACATCCCAATTTTGACTGAGTTGTGTTGATAAGAAGATGTGGTTCCACAGGCTCAGCTGTGGGAGGGTTAGGTTGCAGCTTTACTGAAAGGTGTGAAAGACGCCTACCATGTCTTAGAGGCCAGGCGCTCACACGCACATCTTACTTCAGTCCTCGCGCCTCCTCTGTGAGGTGAACAAGCATGTGCAGAGAGAAGGTGCAGCTTCCCCTTCCTGGTGTTGGCCCACACTGTTCATCAGCTCCACGCACCCCTAGTTCTCAGGGCAAACCTGCGTCCTCCTGGTCTATTCAGAACCACACATTTCTCGTTTGTGGGGTTTTACTTTTCTCTGTATGTCAGCTTTTTAAATGAGCTCTTTTCTTTTTTTCTGATCATGAAAGTAACACAACTTGGAAAACATAGCAAAGCATGGGGAGGGAAAACCCAGCTGCCCGTAACCCCATCACGCAGGTGGAATCCCGCCAGCGGTAACGTCCGTTAGCAGTCAGCGTTAGTATTAACACTTAGCGTGAGTGGTTTCTTCTCATGCTTTCTTTTGTCCTTTATTCTGCTCTCTCAGTAACACTTAGCACCTCCAGGGCAGTCTTGTGAGTGGAGAATCTAGAGCACTGGGCAGAGAACTCACGTTGGGCCCTCAGCGTGAGGGGGCTGGATATTCCAGGGAACATGTCAGGGCTACAACTTGACTCCGTTTTCAAAACAGAAGCCGCAGTTTCCACAGTCTGATTCCCCAGACCTTCCTTCTTCTCCTCCTCCATTCTTCTCCAGGTTTGGCACCTGGTTGGCACCCAGGACATATGTAATTATTGAATAAAAACTACCCTTTCTACTTGCTGCCACAGTTTTTACCAAAGATAAGTGATTATTTCTAAGACTGAATTAAGATCTGGGTGGGGAAAAAGGAAGGTTTGGTGTAAAGTTGACTCCCCCTGTCCTCTGGGCCTGAGGCGTCACAGAGCTCCCCGAGGGCCACCCACCCTCACCAGCACAAGTATTTAGGTTTCTGTTCCAGCTACACTGCCTGGGAAGGTTTTCCTAGGAGCTTGAAACCTCTGGCTCTCAGAATGCTGCCTTCCTAAAATAGGCTAATTATGGTGATTCAAATGGCTTTACAAGCCGGAATTTAGATAACGTACAATTAGAGGCTTGCTAAATGCCTGCAAAGTGCAGTTCTTCCTAATTTCATTACTGTCTCTTTTGATTGGAATCTGATTACTTTCAACCCTAATTTTCAAGATCACCTGGGTCCTAGTGACTGGACTAACAGTCAAATCATTTGAATTGGTGGTAGTTGGACCTCACAGATACTCAGCCATGTGACAGTTACTGGGATAAATTTCTAGATCCCTTCACATGGAAACATGGGCTTCGAAGATTGGAACTTCTCCTGGAGTTATCTCTGAGTATTCATTAATTATCTTCAGGATCCTAGAGTAGATTCTTCATGGATCAATATCTAGTGTCTCTTGGGCAATTACCATGTGCCACACATAGTCCCAAGGGCCCTGTGTGCATTATCACTTACCCCTCACCACTACACAGGGGTAGTTCTTGAGACTCAGTGAAGCTGGGGACGGGCCCAGTTTCACCCTGCAAGGAAGCAGGAGGGTCAGGATTTGAACCCAGGCCCCCTTGTTCCAAAGCGAGAGCTCCTAACTGGTAGGCCCCATTGCCTGACGCTGTCACTTTTGACTTTTAGCACGGGAAGACTGCCCTGGCCCTGGCCGCCAGGAGCAACCACAGCCTCGTTGTGGACATGCTCATTAAAGCCGAGCACTACTGCGCCTGGAGAGAGGTGAGGAAGGACGACTGCAGCTCAGCAGGGGCCTCTTCTGCACCCCCTTTTCTCCCGAGCAGTGTGGGGGTCCGTGTAGTTCTTTCTTCTGCTCTAGTGGGCAGGGCCCTGGTCAGAGCAGTTATAGCTGTCTCTTCTGTCCTGTGCCGTCCCATTCATGGTGTGAACAGCTGCCTCTCTTCCTCCCTTCCTTTGTCAGCACCAGTGGTCAGAACTGCGTGTGTCTGGGCCAAGCAGGCCAGTCCACGTGGGCTCTGAACAGCCAGGCGTGCGTGCCCCGGGGGTTGGCTCCCGGCTGTGCCCGCTGTCACACAGCCTCTGGCTGCGGTCCCTTCTGGAAGCTCCCGGCCCCACATTCTGCTGAGGGATAAGCAAGTTCATATTTACAGTTCTGCAGTTTTCCACACAGCCCTGTGCCGGCTCCCCAGCACTCAGGCATTCTGTGACAGCCACCAGAACCCTGTTCATCTTGAGAATACAAAACCTGCCTCCGAGACATTCCTTGCCTGCCTTCGTTAATACTCCCTGTGACAGCTGCCTCTCACGCAGCTTCTCAGTAGACCGCCCTCCCCTCCAAGGCTCAGTTTCTTTACCAGATACCACCCTCCATTTCTAGTAGGCGTTGTCATCCTAGGCTGATGTCCGCCCTGGTCCAATAGGCTCGAGCCAGAATCTAGGTCCTAGTCCCTCACCTGTCTACCCCTGAGGAGCCCCGAGCCCAGATGACTGTCTAATTCGCCAGTCCTGGGAAATTTCCCTTAAATCCTTGAGGCAAAATGCATCGATTTGCCTCCTTGCTCGCAGTCCTATTTAATTGGCTCAGTAGTCCTGGTATATGTGGATCATTTTAAAGGTCACACTGACCTCTGCAAACTTTTCTTACTTGCCTGTAAAACAAAATTAAACCAAACAACATTTGACGCCTAGAGTTCTGTTTCATCTCCTCCTTCCTTCTCCTCTGATTTCTACTCCTTCTCCTTTTGCCTCTTTGTCCTTGTCTTAGCCTCGTTCTCATCTTCTAAGATCATCATTGTATTTTACTGAGGATGACTTACCCAAGTTCCATCTTTTCTCTAGCTCTTTAAATTGTAGTTTTCACATTTTCTCTAAAAAGTAGGAATATTCATTGGTTCTATTTTTAATGCCTGTTAGCATTTTAAGAGATGAATAAGCCTTCTTTCCTAACAAATCTTTAAGATGTGAGAGTTAGATGAACTTTGAAAATCATAAATAATGCATAAATATAGCTGAAGTAGGCTCCCAGAAATGTGCAGAGTTGTTAACCCTGGTGACAGCTGGGAACCTGCGGTCTGGAATGGGAGGAAGATTTGTTTTTTAATATATATTGTTAAAAAGCTTCTTAAAGAGTATGTTTTCAACAATCAAAAAAATGCATTTATTGTTGTTATTTAAAATTCTCTTTGTTATTAAACAAGTTTATATTCTGGCCTAATGTAAAATGGTTCCTAATGAAAAGATTGAAGAGGTGATTGAAATTTCCTCTCTCATATCTGTTTATCTATCTGCCTAGCCACCCAATCATCCGTCATTTAATTCAGCGGTTCAGAGGCAAATGGGAGCTTCCTAAAATCCGGCTTATGCTATTTTTTTTCATTTTTCAGTTTTGTTAGGTAGAATTGTTACAATTTGACTGCACATAGACAATATATTGCATGTAAATACATATATACAATATATTGCACATATTTTTTTAAATTTATATATATGTACTGTTCATTGTTTCTAAGAATGTTTAGAGCTTTAGCTTTTTAAACTTACATAGTTATGAAAGGAATAACTGGCTTATGGTATTTTAATGTCAACTAGTCCAGGCTTATATTATTCCTGCAAATTGTTCAGTGCTTTGTGGGCAAGCTATTAATTCTTCTTCTGACTGTTGAAAAAAACCTGGTCTTTCAAAGTCCCTGGCCCTTCACTATGGAAGCCTGAAGGGACTGCCTCGCCCAATCCTGGAATGTACAAAGCTCGCATGATTCTCAAAGAAATAAAAATGCTATGATGCAGAGCCGAAAGCAGAGGCATTTTGCACTCCTCCCTTTAGTTGGTGGTGTCTGGGGCTTTGATATTCCTGGATGGAACACTTCCAGGAGATGGAATGAGGAGAAAAGGGAAAGTACAGTGCTTGCAGCTCCCAAGCTTGTTGGGCGCCTCTACTCTCGGCCTGACCTCTTTTAGGACTTCCCGGGAGCCGGACGCAGGGGGAGTAGTGCGAGCTTGGGGTGGACACGACCCTGCATTCTAGACCCTGAAACAATTATGGGAAATTCACACCTCTCATTCCTTTCCCAACTTCTGTGCACAAAGTCCAGATGCTAGAGAAAGGCCTTCCCCTTGCCCTTGACCAAGTTTCCCAGGGGTTGGTAGACCTTCTGGAGGAGATTGCTGATGCTGTGAAGGGTGCGGGCTGATCCGTGATGGGGGCTGGGGCACAAGCCCCACCACGTTCTCCTCACGAGTCTTGAAAACCAGGTCCCCATACCCTTTTAGTGTACTTCCTGCCCCAGCAGTGAGTCCTGTCTTGCTGTTCAGACTATCTTTCATTAAGATCCACTTTTATGTAAATGAAAGATGAGAATAGATGGGAAGCACCAGGCCTCTAGGTGGGCTGTGTGAGCTGTGTGTCCCTAACCGATTGGCACCTCCGGAGGGAGGCTCGTCTGGAGCTTGACATGTGCCTGACAGATGCAGCACTAGGAAGGCATGACACCTGCCTTCACTTTGAGATTTTCTCCAGTTTTTTGGGTTGGATTCTGTAGGACTCTGGTGGATTCTTAAAAAAAGTTCAAAAGGAACCTTTGAAAAATCAGAAAACAAGAATCAGTTAAGGCACGGTGGTGTTGGGCTGAGCCTGGCTGCCCTGCTGTTCATACAAAGTGACATGGACCCCTGTCCTCTCCAGTCCTTGGCCCCAGAGTTAGGCTCCTCATTTGCTCTCCTCACACTCACCAGAGAGCAGGACGAAGTGAGGGACCAGCTATGGGGTCTAAAAAAGAGTACATTCAGTCTCGGCTCCCTGAAACTTTGATACAAGAAAACCAAACACCCAAGGGAAGGGAAAGGAATATCAGTAGAAAGTAAGGCCTTTAAAGATGCATTTGTTACTGTGACATTTCCTTAGCCAAGGCACCCCCTCTGTTTTCTGTTGGGGTGGCCAGCAGGCTGGGATAGAGGCACAGGATGCAGCATGGCACAATCCCTCACATTTCCTGTGTCAGACAGACAGTACTCCAGCTTCTTATTTCAGACATCTGCCTCTGTCTTAGATGACAAAAAGGATCCAGTTACAATATTGAAAACATAGTCGCGGTTACCGCTGTAGGGGTTCTATCTGAAAAAATACATACGAATATCCTCTGAAATAAGGCAACAGGTAGAAAGTGTCTGACATCATCTGTTACTGTTACCTTCAACCTAGGAGCGTGGGGAGAACGTCAGGGACCCACCCACCAGCTTTACTCTGACGTTCAAGCAAGACCACAGTCCGGAGACCAGGCACATTCGCAGTCTCCTCTGGGACCTGGCTTACCATCAGCTGAAGGCCAGCGAGTGGCAGAGGCTGGCCCGTTTGTGGCACTTTACAGACGCCCAGATCAGAGCCATCGAGGAGCAGCGGGCAGGTGAGCACGGCCCGGCGAGGTGGGCAGGCAGCATCCGTGTTAAAAGAGCCCTCCTTCCGGATGCATGTCTTCCAAGTGGGTGCCCTGGGCTTACAATAAGGGGCAGATGGCAGGGGCCCAGGAGTGGGGACAGTTAGTTTAGGACCACAAAGGTGACTGAGGACCTTGAGACTGCCAGTACTCACAGGAATTTGCAGGAGACTGAGGTTTGCAAAGGATGATTACTTTTACTGAGCCATGTTAAAAGATGCCATTTTAGCCTAAAAGGAAATTAACTGAATTGGGCACCAAGGAAGCCAGGATTTAACAGTCGGCTTGTCACTCCTGAGTTCTCGAGCTCCTTGAGATTGTCCTGGGGTGAATGGGTCCACTCCCTAACAAAAGGCTCACTGGTTAGGGCTTCCACTCCAGAGAGGAATCCCTTTAACCACGCCTGGGGCAAGAGGTTCTTGTGGGACATGGCCTTGGTGAGACCTGCTGTGCCATGAGAGATGTGGAGGACGCAAACTCACGACTGTCTTGGTTGGAGGAGTCCAAGTCATGGAATCGTTTCAGCCAGACTCCGGCTGTTAGTGAGGTTGGGTCAACTGGAGTCCTTAGCTTTACTTTTTTATGATTTGACTCAAACCTAGGAAGTATAGAAAGTTTGTTTGCATTATCAATTAATTAGCATTAAAGACAAAGAAACAAACCCTTTTATTGGCAAAACTTTCTGCTCAGAGGGCTGTCCTTCCACGTCTGTCATGAGATGTGAACGAGTCCCATGCCTGTGGGGGATGGGGTGGGTGATTCACATTACTGGTGGCTGGGGATTGGAGACAGCAGAGCCACTGCCCATGGGCACATGCTGCTTACACCACACAGACAAGTAGACTATGGCACTTGTTATGGCTAATTCTAAGGATACATTTCCATGTGAAAAAAGGAAGACAGTACATTAAAAATGTTGAATATTGACTAAAAAGTTTCTAAAAAAGATTTCTTTTGTATTACGATTTCTCCGTGTGGCTAATTAGGCATATAGTGTCCTGTGAAGTTTTTAGAAAGATGGAGTTGCTTTCTGGAAATCTCTCTTGACGAAAAACAATGATTTGGAAATACAGAGTGCCTTCAGAGGACTTGTCATCAGGAGAAGGGGAGTTGGAAGTGTCTCATTCACGAATGAGGGAGTGCCTAGGGGGTGTGGAGCTGTGCCCGGTGAGGGACACATCGGCTCTGTAAGCCATGGTGCATGTTTGATGGAGCTGGTAACCTAGCTGGTGTGGTAAGAGTAACATTCACAGTCCAATGAATTCCGTTGTAACCCAGGGTTAAGCTTTTGGCACCAATGAGTTGGTGGGCCTCTGAGCAAAGGAGTGGCTCATTGATGGTGGTATTTAAGAAAAATTAATCTGGTCGAGGCAAGGTTAGGAAAGGAACCGGATTCACCTAGGAGTATGTTTTTAATGCATGCAGTTCGCTACCCAGAAATGCCTGCCTCTAGCAGCCTGTGCAGCAGGCGCCCTCCCCAGAGCGCAGGCCCTCCTCATTGCGGCATCTGGTAGAGCTCAGAGCCTGTCAGAGCCCGTCCGGGGTCTGTAACTGCGAACTGCAGCAGGGAGTGGCAATGGCTTCCCATCTCCCTACCCCAGCACGTCCCCCAGCACTTCTCAGGGGTGAGAAGTCCTGGCCTGGCCCGGGGACTGCAGGCTTCCACGGGAGGAGTTTCCTTGAAGCTGGAGCAGCAGGACACGGGAGTTTACTAGACATGCCGATCCTCACCCCAGCCTGACCGAATCAGAATCTCCATTCTGACAAGATGCTCAGGGGAAATGTGCACTTTAAGTGTGAGAGTGCTGGACTTAAGCAGTGCCATCTGAGCACTGAAGGAAAAAAAGCTCCATATCTCTCTAAGACTGTCCTTCCCTACTGAGCCAGGGGCACAGCTATTAAATCTCTCATCCGTAACTGGTCTGTCAGGCACAGCAGGCACGTGACTGCAATCTCTGGTGTCCCGAGAAGTACCAGTGAGGGGACTGGAAGGGCTTTCATCCACTGGGCTTCTCACCTAACAGCTGCCAGTGGAGGAATGAGCGTGGAACCACAGTCACACAGAAATTCCGTTAGCACTGAGTTTACAATAAGGAGATGTCAGCATTGGTCCTTCTGTGCTTGACACAGGGGAGGAGAGCTTCCGTGAGCATGGCCACAGGGCTCTGCTCACCTGGCTGCATGGGGCCCTGGTGACACAGGCCACGCCGGTCAAGCGCCTGTACGAAGAGCTGGTGCACACGGGCTTCCCAGACTAGCTGGTGAGTTACAGTTTTCAGCCAGCTCCTGCTCCCTACCGTGGCAGTGGGCAGAAACACTCCCCGGAGCCGCTGCAGTCCCAGCCCGGTGTCGGCTGTGGCTCCTACAGGACCAGCGGCTTCTCCTTCGGTGAGTGACTTCATCAGGACTGGGCCCGTTTTTCAGCCTGCTGGTTCTCAGTGTCATTCCCCTGCTGGGCATTTGATAATGGAGGAGGATTTTCACGTGTGTGTATGTGTGGGTGGGGTGGAAGGAGCAGGGGATCAGGAATGCTAACTCATCTACTAAGGTTACAGGACAGTGCTCAAAACGCCTGCTCCTGCTGGGAACTCAACTCTGCAAGCTGGTGCATTTGAAAGTGTTACCTCTAGGTTGTGAGAAGACAGCAGGCAAGCCGTTATTTTGCGAGCTGAGATTACTGCTAAAATCGCTCTGCCAAAAACCACATTGTCAGGGAAGATGCTTTGGAAACTTACTGATAAATTAGGCGGTAGTATAACTCTCATGTAATAACCATTCAAATGAAATATAGGAACATCTGCCATTATTTTCAGTTTTACCTGAAACTGAAACCTTAAATGCACGTCAGATCACGGATCCAGTGTTCAGTTTCAAGCAGTGGTGGGTACAAGGAACAGTGTGTGAATGACGCCTACTTTCTGTGACATTATCCTTATAGCCCTGGGGTTGCTCCCATAACTTTGAACTTAACTCGTTTCTATGAAAGAGTGTCCATAAGAACTCTCAGGGAAGACAAAGAGGCAGCCCACGGCAGGGGGAAGGGCATGTGCTCCGGAGTCAGACTGTGTGGGCTGACCCCCAACAGTAATGGGCTGTGTGACTTTGAGCAAGTTCTGGAACCTCATTCTGCCAGGGTTCTCTGTTATTAATGAGAAAGGAAAAGCGTCTGTGTCAGCGGGCTGCTGTGGGATTAAGTGAGTAATAGTGCCTGACAGGTAGCGAGTGCTTAAGAAATGTTAGCTATTAATAATGTTATATTATTTTTTCCAGAAAAGATTCTTCAATTCAAAAGTGAAACTGACTCAAGGCCCAGGAAGTGTGCAGTTTCATAAATGTGTGAAGCAATTTTATTTAAATGACTTTTCACCCTGTATTCAGTCCTCTTAAATTCAGTTCTTTAAATGCCATAAAGGTCTTACAGCAGTAGTACTGATTTTCCTTTCAGCTATGAAGGTGGTGGTGACAGGATTCTCTGAAAGAGGGAAAAATCGTACTACTCTCTAACCACTGAAAAGTGAAACATTTTTTGGGTTTTGCCTAATTGAGGCAAGTTGGGTATGATCTTCCCATTTCTGTCATTTGATGCAACATAACATGTGATAGCATGTCTAGTGATGGCATAATCTAGGATTTTGTACATCATGTTTTAAAAAATAATGGTGGGAGCATCGTGGTGTGTGAACCAAGGGTCTTAGAATAGACAGTCGTGGTTTCGCCACTCACTAGCTGCGAGGCTTTGGGCGTGCTAATGGTCCAAGTTCTCAGATCTTCAGCTTCCTTCTCTGTAAGTTGGGGAAAAGGTCTGTCTCTTCTGTAATGCTGAGGTGACGATGAAGGGAGAACACCTGTGAAGTGCCTAACTTCATCCAGAGTATTGAAATCATTTAACTGTTAGTGATTTCTGTTCCATAAGAGAAATTCCATAAGAGAAAAAGGAATTTAGTCACTTTTGGCTTTAGTAACACCTATGTGTAAATATATTACTTAGAAGAGACCAGAGGTACACTGATGTTTTTTAATCTCTTTGTGATCTAAGTACAGATGATTTTAATTTTCTTTGTACTTTTGGTATGTTCCAATCTTTCATATTGAACATGCATTATTTTTGTAGTCTGAGAAAGTTCTGCAATAACTATGAAATCAAGTATCAATTTATATCAGCTTATGTGCACCTATTCATTATAATTTAAGGCTCTCCATTTTCAAATTGACTCTAAGTCTAAAGGCCAGAAATAAAATCATGAGCAATTTCAGTCCAATTATATCATGAATTTATAGTTTTACATCTTCATCTCATGTTGATTATAAATAGTACACTTAATACCATGTATGTTTAAAACACATAATATGTTCACATGACTCGAAAAAGTTTTTAGAAAGGTAGTGAAAAGTGTTGTCCCCACCTCTTCTTCAGAGATCGCCAGTTTTCACTGGCCTTGCTGCTCCTCCCTCCCCAAATCTGGGTAACCTCTTTATGCAAAAATAAACAAATATGAATACATACTCTTACTGTTTAAGCAGTTTAATTGAATGTAAGTTGAATGAGGCTAGCACTAATTACTTGGTGTGTTAGCCAGTATACAATTTCTAGAGTTGAGATAAAGCTTAAAAAGATACTTAACAATCTTCTTAATCAGTGTCCACAACACTCGCTTTATTCATGTGGTTATGGCGTGGCTGCCATTCCTAGTTGTTATGTTGATTCCTCAAAAAGCAGAGCCCGAGGCCAAAGTTAATGAGCAAATGCTTTTTTTCAGGAGTGCAAATCCAAGGAAGCAGGAGTGAAGGAAAAGGGGAGTGGGGTGGGAGGAGCAAGAGCCAAGACCAGGGTGACTTATTAATTGGTCAACACTTGGTATCAAGCACAACTGATTATTTGACCTCAAGGATGGACCAGTGCCTCTCAGAACAACTCATACAAGGGGGAGAAAGGAAGAACTATCTGTTTACACCAATGGCGTGTTAATTCCGGGCTGCGTGTGAGTTGGCTCCAGGTGGAAAGCGCCAGTGTCTCTGAGTGCACAGGGAAGCCCTGGGCAGGAGCACGCCCCTGGTAAGTGCAGCAGGAGACGAGGTGCTGTCGGTTTGTGCTTACTGAGACCCAGGAGGAGCTGTCTGCTGCAGCAGTGGCTGGCCAGAACCCAGAACAAGTGTTGCATAAGAAGGATCTAATACTCTCTAACACATAGCCAGATACTTTTATAGTTCAAAAAAGCCTTGGTGTGTCCTTTAGAAAATGGGATATTTATCTGTCTCACATTTATTCTCTCATGTCCTGTTACAACATGAGTTAATAAGAAAAACTACTTCCAGTAGTAAAATTAGAGCACAGAGCTAGATCATATTCAGATTGAAAGGGGCTTCAGATTATTAAGTCCATCCACTTCTGTTAAAGATACGGAAACTGAGGCTGTACACAAGTTTTTCAGCATCCACTCGTCTTTAGGTAAGCCATAAGTGCCCTGTAAATAGGTGAGGTAGGCAGATTGCATTATTTCACAGATGAGGATCCCGAGATTAAACTGTCTGGCCCAAGATAACCCAGTCAGCCAGCAATAAAACCATTGGAGGCCCAGTCTTACTCTCCTAAAACAGTTTTGCCCAGATGGTTTCTTCCTATTGCCAGCCATTGCAAAGTCCTGAATTGCCCGGGGATGTACCACCACAGGATGATGTCTGGATGTTCACAGCAAAAAAAGGTTCAACGGTGTGGAATTTCAAAAAGGTAAGAAAGAACATCAGTAACTGTCATTCTAACAGAAAATTTCTTTTTGATGTTTCTGTTACTGTTTTTGTACTAGTAATTTTTCTCCCTTTTAACATTAAAAACTATTCATAGGTATTGCCATTTGCCCCTATTTTTAATTGTTAGAGTCCTAGAAAAATGTGGACTGATGTACTAAAGTCACAAAAAACTTTGTGATAAAAGGTTATTATTATTACCGGTCTTTATCTTTTTAATTTTTAAATAAAAATACCTTAGTTTCTATTATAGTTTTAATTATTTTTTTAGTAAAGTTCTCAAAGCTCACCTGATAACATTGGAAATGATTTGGCCTTTTAGAAATAACGTTGCAAAAACAGGATTTATACACTTTGACGATATAATCAGTGACAGGCTGAACCTATTAAAAGAAAGTCCAGTTTCTTTTTTAATTTAAAAAAGTTTTACTTAATTGCTTAAATAAAAAAAAACATTAAAATATTCCTACATATAGTTACAAAGGATGGTATAGCTTGAAAAAGTCTCTTCTAATTTTGAAAAAATGAACATGATGAATGTATGATGTTCTAAGAATATGGAATTTAAAAAACTAAAGGCTTCTAATCCTTGGTAAAACCAGAAGAATTAAAAGACCTCAATGTGAACATATTCATTTTAGTCAACCACTTTTATGGAATGAATGCTTGTGAGAGACTGGCTGTGAGTTGATCTGGTTCCGAGAGATCTGGAAACTGAAGTACTACTTTCAGGATGAATGGTCCGGGGGTATTTTGCTGCAGCAGCTTGAGGGATGGTTTGCTGAAAAGGCAAAAATACGCTTTAATAACTTCATAAAATTACACATATTAAATATCATTTCATTAACTATTATTTCATTATCTATAACCCAATAAACACTAGTACATGTAGACTCCTATTAGAGTCTTCCACTTATCTTTAAAATACTTGAAGTAAAATTATATACATATCAAAACATTCACTATGTATTACAAAAGCTCTATGATACAGCTTTTGCTTAAAAAAATTAATGAAACCTCTTGAACACCTCCTGTCAGATTCCACTTTAAGACTAAGAGTTCCTCTTTGCAGAAATGGAAAAATAACCTCCTTTCTTTATATAAAAGTATTTTATATAAATGTTTCTTTGTACATAAATAACTGGATAATCATTACAAATGGGAGATTCTTGCAACTGTATGAAATTTTAGTTGCTAACCACCTAATCTGATCCTGTCAAAAGAGCTATTTCTCCTTCAGGATGATTATGGGCAGGAGGGCTACAGAAACAGATTCATGGTACCACTGGCATCGTGATGTACAAAATACAGCATAGAATGAAGCAGCACTAGGAGAAAGCAATTATCCAGCAGATGGAGCTCAAGTGTCAGAAATCTGATTAATGGTTCATTTATAATAACTGTTTCTGGTAGTTCCAGATCTTAGATTCCCAGGATAAAATGAAAAATAGTACAAAGCACTGCCACTGTGTCTGTTACACAGTCCAAAGTAAGTAGTAATGGAAGCAGTTTATGGATATTGAATTCATGGCCAATTGCTGGAGAGTCACTCAGCATACGAGATAAGCAAAGGGCAGTTTGGGAGATAAATATCAGAAAAAGGGGTGATAAGTCTTTAATTCCTTGATTTTCTTCTATAAATATTCCTATCAATAGTACAAAACAAAGGTTTTCTGAATTAAAAATAAACACGTGCTCTTTATATCTTCTTCGTCTTACAGATAGTTTCTCTCCCATCTCTTTATAAACATCATATATGCTGAGAAAAATAGAAATGAGTTCATTTTTTCTCCATTTTTGATAACTAATCTCACATTTTCAAAAATAGACAGATAAGTCATCTAAGGACTTTCAGAGTCTGTCCAACCTATGAAGGCTAAGATAATCCTCCACCCTCCAGGTCTTCCATCTGGACTGGACTTCACTGTGGTCATACTTTTACCTGAGGCTAAATTTAAGCAGTCAATCCAGCTTCTTTGTCTTAATCATCTAGCAACAATCTAGTATTCAGAAAGAAAAGGGATTTAAAATCATTCCTTATGTTTTTTTTGACATACTAAGTAGGCAGGAATGTTGTTTAACATTGAGAATCTGTATAGAGGACACTCTCTTTCTCTCTCTTTTTTTTTGTATTGAAGTATATAGTCAGTTACAATGTGTCAGTTTCTGGTGTACATCATAATGTCCCAGTCATGTGTGTGTGTATACACACACACATATATTTGTTTTCATATTCTTTTTCATTAAAGGTTATTACAAGGGCATTCTCTTTTAAAATCAGTCCTTTAATGTATAGCACAGGGAAATATATTCAGTAACTTGCAATAACCTGTAACGAAAAAGAATCAAAAAGAATATATATAACTGAATCACTATGCTGTACACCAGAAATTAACACAACACTGTAAATCAGCTATACTTCAATATAAATACATTTCAAAAAATCAATCCTTATTTCTCTTTAGGGATACGTTCGTATAACTTTTAAATACTAAACTTCTTGAGACAGTTAATTCATATAGAGTTGTAAGAAATAGCACAGGGATGTCCCATGTACCCTTCTCTAGTAATTTCTATTAAGTTAAATTTGCTTATGGCTTTACAATTTACAAAGTGCCTTTATACATCTCATTCAGTTTTCATGTTATCTCATTTAATCCTGAATCCTGGCAGTAACTCTAGGAGCTAAGTGCTCTTATCACACCCAAAAATGGAGGCTCAAATATTTTACTTGAATTGTATATGATCCAAAGGCAATAAATAGCAAAATTGAGACACTAATTCATGTTTTCCTGTTTATTTTGGCTTAAATTCCATATACTTTCTTTTATATCACATGAATTTACTGCAAATTGAATTTTTTCCAAATTAGGAATACGCTGACAATTGGTATTGAAAAAACAGGAAGAAGACTTCAAAAAAAGGAGCAAAAATTAAAAATTATAAAAGTAGGTATTTCTTATAATAAAAAATCTGCTACATAATGAATAAACAGTTTTCGTCTCTTTTTAAATCAATGAGAAGTCATTTAGGTATTTTACCCTTTTGGCCATCAACACACTGGATTACTTTTTGTATCTGATAATTTTTATATTGTTGAGAAGAAACAATGTTCTGAAATTAATTTCCTAAAAGAAGAAAGGTAGATTTAGAGCAGATGTGGTAACCGTCAGTACAGAAAGATTGCAATAGTGAAGGCAGAACAAGTACCAGTCATCATGAGTCTTGCTCTTCTCTTCAACATGCCATTTCAGTGTTTATAAGTCTATCAGCTCTCAGGAAAGAGGTTTTCTGACAGAAAGACATCATATGCAGACTCACCACTGTGACCGGATGATGTTTTTCCACAACAACAGAGCTCATGGGAGGAGAAACTCCCATTATAGCTAAACTGCTACTGATTCTGTTTTTTGAAGCAAAATCACATCTCCCTGTGATCCGGGCTGTGATTGTTCTTCCTGCTTTCTGTTGTGCCGATGTCACAACCCTTGGCACAAACTGAAAAACAAACAAATACCCAGTTGGTAGAAAATCCATGGCAAAAGTTATGGTACTTTTGGTTCTATAACTTATAAAGAAAGTACACGGGCACTTAAAATAATTTTATATTCAGTCAACTCTAACATGGAAAAAAATGTTTAAACAGTAAGACAAAAAGCAAAACATAACACCAAACATCCCCAAACACCCCTTTAACCTTGGTATACCAACTATTTTTATAGGATTTTAGGAACTTTAAGAAAAACTTTTTTATTCTGAAACAATTATAGATTCATAGGGAGTTACAAAGATAGCATAGAGATGTCTTGTGTATCCTTCATCCAATTTCCCAAAGTGATTACATCTTCCATAGCTACAGTATAATTACAGTATCAGGACCAGGAAGCTGATACTGGAATGATGCCCGGAGATAGATCTTTGCCACTTTATCACATGTGTAGATTCCTGTAACTGTCACTGCAACTGAGATACAGAAACCACCACAAACATCTCCCTCGTGCTACCCTTTAGAGTCATACCCTCCTCCCTTCCCGAACCACCCTAATTCTTAGCAACTATTAGTGTTTTATGAACTCTTTTGACCCTTCTACATAGACTATCATTACGCATATACTTTTGTGTCTTCCTTTTTTTCTTACTGCAATGTCAGTATACTTCTTTCATGAATAGAGACTGGCTATAATTTTTAATGAGAGGTTTTTATACCAAAAACTATAGTTCATCTAACTGTCCCAGTTCTTTTCCTTATATGTAGCAAATTTTTGTAAACAAAGGATTTTCCTTTTCTCTTGAGAATTATTTGTAGAATGTATTGCAAAAAAGGGATTATCATATCAAAAGGTACTGTCAGCTTTTACAGCTTTTGTTGTTTACTGCTGGACAATACTCCATAAAGATTACATTTAGGTCAGGAGTAATGCATGCACGTACTCATTTTTTTTTTTTCACTAAGTATATTAGCTGGGCAAAAATCAAAAGGAGTAAGAAAAAAAGGAAAAGACATATTTTAAGAACCCAGTATTTATATCTTAACGTTTGGCATGGAAACAGTGCATATCACTGGTTGACAGTATAGGGCTCTGAAGCCAGACTGTCAAAGTCTGAATTCCAGTTGTGTTAGTAATTGTGTCCATGGGCAAGTTACCCTCTAAGCCTCAACCTCAGTAACTGACTAATGACAGCCTTTCAAGTTCCATTCAGATGAAGAGGAACTTTAGAAGAGAAACTTTACTAAATAGCTTAAAAATCCAGTTTAAACCTCTCAATTATTTCAGCTGGAGTTAGAAAAAGTTAAGTGCCATCTACTGTTCAATGATGTCAATTACAATAGTACATTTGCTTAGTACATTTTTTGAGAAGCATTTTCCACCATGAGAGTCTCATATTTTTCTTTAACATGCTAAGGATGTCTGCAGAAAGGAATGGATTTTACAGAGGAAGACATTCTTTCTCTAGAATGGTAATCCTCCCTTCTCCAGTTATTTGTTTCCCAAGCTCTGTAGTTTACTTTTCTACACAGTCCTCCTTTTAGCTACTAGAAATACCGAGGAAGACAGGAAAAGATTTCCTTGTTCACAGGATGTCTCTGTGATTCAAATGAAGGGAAAGACAACCAGGCCTGGTTCACAAACCTCTCTTCTTTTCTTGTACCCAGCAATGATGGTTTCATGTAAGGAAAGTTACCTCATTAATGTATCTGTTCCTGCTTTTGTCATTATAGTTCTTTTTAAAAATGAGAAGACATGTTTGAGGTGAATCTTGAGTATTTTAATTAAATAAGGAAGGAAGAAAACCAGCATGTCACTTACAGACTGAGCTGTGATTCTCTTTTCTCCCTAACCCTAAAGGCTGTACTTATGTGAATGAAATTGTGTATCTATTTCTTGAAGGACCAGATGTAGTTGCTGGGGGTGGGGGTGGGGTGGAGAAGAAGGGCTGTCTACACAATATTGTGTTTTTCAGGTTTCAAAGACTTCAGAATTATCTCAGGTGATCAAATTGTTTCAAAACAAAAAAGGTGCTAAACTTACTCATTCATTCGGTTCTCCCTATGCACATTCAGAGTTACACAGAAACACAGATGTACACCCGGAGTAGTCGTATTTTAAGAAAATTTTGAAAAATCTAGTTCTGCATGTTATCTGGACAGGCAACATGAATGACAAACTCACTATGTTTATTTAAATGAGATCACTGGTACAGGATCACACTTCAAAATGTGTAATCCTGAAAAATAAACACAGCTGAACAATATGTCAGGGTTGAATTTTAGTGCCTTAATTCTAAATCAAAACTCTCCTACACATCGAAATTGCTCTTAACAGTTGTTTTTAACCTTTTTGAATCAAGAGCAAAAATATGTTGAGATCAGCAAAAACATCAGATCTCAATATATTTTTCCCCAAAGTGAGTAGCTTCCAAAAGGCAGAAGTTCAGGTCAGCCTGAATCCTACAGACGACCAACTGTCTGGCTGACTCAACACCTCCCTCAGCTAGAGAGCTGCCTGGTGCTACGGTACTAACGGCCTGCCAGGTAACCTAAGATCTAACGCCTACTCTGCCAGCTTCCTTCCTCTCATGTAAGTGGTGAGGGTGGGGGAGGAGAGGGAGACAAGCAAAGCAGAATCATACCAGGACCTTTTCAGAGCTAACTGTTCGTGCCTCTGTGCCAGATCCAAGCCGGAGTCGGGAAGGGTACAGGGTTTTTAAAAAAAGCCCTGCAGAGGTAAGTCTGGGAAGTGCGGCTTGTAGCCCTCTGCCAGACACTGTCTGAGGAACACAGGCTTAACCGCAGGACAACTCAGAATCACCACAGGCTTCGCCTGTAACTTTATGCATATTAACAGCTTGGTTAATCCCATTTCAGGTGAATCCTCCCACAGATACTCCATCGCCATCCAGTACCCGTCCCCACTCTACGCACTCTTCTAACAGCAGCTAGCGACCGTAGGAAAGACAATTCCTATCTTCATTCCAGTGATAAATGAAAACTTAAAGCCTAATCAAATCAAGATGGAGTCACTACAGACAAGTGTTAATGGTATGTCTGCATCCAGGAAAAGGGACGCTGTAGTTGAATAGGAAATATAAAAAAGAGCCATTAACCTTCAGAGCCCTT